CTTTTTTTCTTAGAAGCAAAGGTCTAATTGTATAGCTCAAATATCATCTTTGCCCTTTCCAAGGCTGTCAGTTTGTCATTGGTGGATAGATGGACAAGAATATTGTAAATGTCAGTGTGAACATGGCTGAGGTCYGGGTTTTCCCTCATTTTCTTCAGATTTCTTTTCAGCAGACAGATGAGTAGAATCACTTTGTTCAGCGCTGGCGTTTCAGCAGCGCCGACTCCTTTGGTGGCAATGATAAATGGATCGGAGATATGAAATAGCTGTTCCAGCAAAGTCCATTGAGCAGAATAGAGAACAATGCCCTGCTCAATGTCATTGTATGCGATGTAGTCGGTGATTGCCACTTTTTGCACAAGAATGTGTTCAATCAGCAAGGTACAGAGAATTCCACAGTGTTGCCTCAGCCTGAATGAGCCGGTGCCGTGGCAGGGGCCTTTGCTCAGCATGATTTGGACCTGACTCGCTCGAGCTATTAAAATGGCACAAATTATAGCTRTAACCTCCCAGGGTGAGTGACTTTTTTGAAACGTGGCGTTAGGATCAGTCCCATCCTGTGGGTGATGTGCTGTGTGTTTTAATGTAATGCTCTGTCCCATGGGGGCAGAAGACCTGGGAGGTCTGATACCATCCGTAGCCCAATCTGCAGGTTTTCTGCTTCCTTCTACAGAAAGTAGCAGTAATTAAACCTGCATCAGGTGCATAAAAATASAAGTTTGTGTATTTTGGTGTACTTGTTACTGGTTTGTTACCCAAACCAGTAACAAGTTTGGGTTACTGATTGTGGTATCTGAGCATGCAATACCCTTTACCTTTTCACTGGGGAGACAGTTTGGAGTTGYGTTTTCTGTCACTTGCTTGGGACTTAGCTTGCAGCACTGTTGCCCCTTTCAGGAAAACTGTTGGAGTCCCTTCCTCCTGACACGAGGCTTTCAAGCCCATAAAATAGCCATTTCAAGCGCTGCTTCCTTGGAGGCGCCCATTGCATCTCGTGCCATGCTCATTTGAAATTCTGGCTATAAATGGATTAACAAGARCTGGGGGTGCTCAGCAGTTTTGTTAATCTGGCTCTTATTTTGGTGCATAAATGAAAGCCGAGGGGTGTTTGGCTGCTTTATTTTCTGATACCACAGGCCAACATTTGCAAATCTGGCTCTGGGTCCTTTTCAGCCTGGCCCAGGTTGACTACATGACTTCAGTTTGGAGGCAGTAAATGCCTTGCAATTGAGGATGGGAGGAAAAACCCTCTACTTTGTCTGGTGTAAAATACTGCATCTGCWGCCACCTCAAACTGATTTGTCACTTTATCCCTTGCAGCTCCTGGTGAAGCTAGTGAGTTATCCAAAAGTCAGGTCATGCTACCTGCAAATGATATTTTGGTTGCAGGTTCTTTGCAGCATATTCAGATGCAATGTGTGCACCAAACCCTGGCTTTGTGAAACAGGATGTGAAGAACCCTGCAAAACTCTYTTTGTATTACCACATTTTGCAGCAACCCTGCCCAAAGTAGCAGGCCAGCACAAAGTATTTCTATCACTTCAGCTCCAAAATAGGACAGATCTGGTGCAAAACATTCCGGCTGGATTTGTGCGTGGGATCATCTTTCCTGCTGCAGGTTTCTTCTGGAAGTATTGTGAGACTTGTTTGAATCCTTTAAAAAAAAAAAAAAATACACCAAGGCTGTGTCTGACTAGTTTGCTGAAGAAAAGATGAATTGGTTATTAGCGCAGTGAAACTGTCAGTTAACAGAACTGTAGCCAAGCTGCCAATGGTTGTGTAACGAACTCAGCTGAGCTTAGGACAACATGTTTTTGCTGTTCCCTTTTAATGGGTTTTCATTGCGCTTTTGTTCAAAAAATCTCAAAGCACTTAAGTTATTTGACTTCTTCAGTGGCCCTGGGTAGCGGAGAAGTGTTTCCTCCTGTTTGCAGAGGAGGGAGCAGAGGTAGCAAGCAATGCAGAGTCAGGTTTGCAAAGGTGAGCAGTGTTTCGGGGTGATCAAATTCAGGGTTTTGGGCTTTGGTTTTCAGGCCTTGTTCCCCAGGAGCAGTTAGTGGTGTAGTCTGTGACACAAAAGAGGCATCCAAAAATGAATTGGGACCATTGGAGGGTTTGAGTGTGAGATGCTTGGAGTGCCTAACCTGCAGACTCATGTTGGGAACGAGGTGGATATAGTATCCCACAAACCTCCTTTTCTCCTGAAGTCTTCCTGGAGTTACCTTGTAAATAAATTGTCTGAGTCTTTCTACAAAGCAGAGGAAATGAGTGTYTCTACTCTGCCTGGAAAACTCAACTGAGCAGGGCTGTGCAACACACATTTGCATGCGCTTCTGTGCGGACACTTGTACAGAACGTGAATGGAAGTCCAAAGCAAGGCAAAAGCCTCTTCCTTCCTCTCTATTTTTATGTTTTGCTTTTTATTTTCTGGGTGTGTGCAAAGCTTCTTGGAGCAATTCTGCTCGTGGGCCAGGGCTGYTCTCCAGGAGCATGTGTCTCCTTTGCCCTTGTGCCCTGTCGACAAAACCCTCTCTGTGTGGGGAAAGAGACGCCCCGTGTGGTGCGCGGCAGCCCTGGCGCTTTGTGGAGCGTACCCGGAGCCAGGCGAGGCGAACGGCAGGGGCGTTTATTGCCTGTGCATAATTTATGAGCTTGGAGGGCTTTGACCATCRTTCGTATCTGCCAGAGGCTGGCACGGAGGGCTGGAGCTGTAAATTGGATGGTGCTCTCCATGCAGGCCTCGTGGTGAGGTGGGAATTGAGGAGTGTGAGCAGGGCTGCAGTGTGAGCCACGCGGGCCTCAGCGGGCCCTCAGCGTGGCTACGTGGGCCCTCAGCACATGTGGGGCAGCGCAGGCCTCAGCAGCACCGCGCAGCTTCCTTGGCCACGCCGCGGAGCCGCCCTCAGTCACCAGGCACACGCCGAGAAGCCCCGCGCGCTTCTCATCAGCCTGGCACTCGCGCCGCTTCTGTAATGGCCACCAGTAGGTCTCGGTCCTCCGCCATATGCTTAACTCAGGAGACAAGGTGCTTCTGGGTATAGCAGTAATTATTTGATGTGGAATTAAGCGGACCTTGAAATTGGAACTGGACTGTCGGCGAGCGGGAGGCTTAAYGCTCTGCTGGAAATGGCTTCGCAGGAGGCCGCTCTGCGCGGTGCCTCTGCTGCCCTGCTCCAGTTGAGGTAACGGTGCTGCTGGCAGATTAGGATGTTGCTGCTGGCAACTGCCTGGCTCCCCCCGGTACCTCCAGCACTGCCGAAATCACCAAGCCCCAAGTCGCTTCCGAGAGAGGGGACAAAGAAATTGAGCAGCTGGCTCTGGGCTCCCTGCCTGGAAATACGAGAGGTGTTGCCTCAGTACCCTGTAATGCATCCCAGTCTGTAGGGCGCTGGTCCTTGGTGGTCCTACTGGTCCTTGCTGTCCTACTGGGCCCTGACAATAATGAAAGGGTAGAAAAGAATTCATCCCAATGGCTGTTTTTTTCCAGCAAACTGAAAACTGGGGTAGGGAATGGGATTTCTGTGATGTGCTCTGATTTTCATGGATGGAGGTCTGTAAATGTGGGGCCTTGCYTTGCCAACAAATGCTCCCTGCAGCCCAAATTTTCACACATGTAGCTGTGCTGCAGTCAGCATGTGAAACCTTTAGAGGATGAGGGATGAGCACATTATATAAAAAGAAAGTTGTTCTAACAAGTACAATTTTCTTACTGTTTACTAAGTACTCCTYGCATGAGGATTTCAGATTTTGAGCCCAAGCTGCCTCTTACCTTTGTGCTCCATTTTTTAGCTACTGAAGCAGTTAGGTGCAACTAGTACTGCATAAAATCATTTCAGTGCTTAAACAAGTGTTGCTCGTGTTTTAGTTAGGGGTGGAAATTGAGATCTAGGTGAGGGTGCAAGGGCACCTGATTCTGCTGGGTCATCACTCAGCTGCCCTTGCAAAGGGCAGCTGCCCTTGGAAGCCTCTGCCGTGAGACTTGCCAAGGTCCCAGTTCACCCCTGGAAAGATAGAGGCAGTTGTGTCCTCCGGATGCTACAGCTCTTTGCAGACGATTCTGGTGCTCTGTTGGCAAGGCTGCCAAGAGCAGCTGCTCAGTTGTTACTCAGAATGAGGTGGGACGAATGAGAAACTGTTGAAGAGAGAAGCAGCTGGTTGCAGTATCCTCGCGTGCCCGTTTCCAGTGCTCTTGCTGTACTTCTAGCAAACCCAGGTGTGGCCTGGACTTCTGATGCTTTTCCACCCTCATCGATTCCTCTGTTTTTCTGTTGTATTCCTTCAGTAGTAAAAGCCATTAAAAAAATTGACCTTTGACACTTCATAATTAGCAAAAGTATTTTGTATTGCTGATGAAAATTACACAGTTTTATAAATGTCTACCACATTACCTGGACTGCTCTAGAAAACCTCAATAAATCCATTAATTTGGCATGTTCTTGGTGTCACCACAGTCTGATTTCTTTAATGGAGCAGCTGTAGGCMATGATGCAGGGGTGACTCTTCCAAGTACTGCTGGAGTGAGAGGGAAGCCTGGTAAATGCTTCTCTTCTGGGATGGGCAAACTTGAGTTATTTTCATTTCCTTCTATCTGAGAAGCCTTTAAAGCCAATTTCTTGGCAGGCAGCATGAGCAATGCTGTTCATCAAAAGAAAAAGAAACAACCCTCTAACACTATGCGCTTCTCCCCGATCCAGTTTTAGAGTGTAAATGTGCTTGTGTACCATCAACTCCCTTTCATGTGAATTGGCCTGGCAGAGGGCATTGCAAATGCATTTTGTTGAATCATGGTGAAAAAAACGCACTGAAAACAAACATACTAATGTGTTATCTTCCACAGTTAGCAGAATTTCCCACCTGTGCAGTAATCATGGTTTTCCCTGAAGGAACTGGAGTTGATGCAACAGGGCTTATGAGTATTTTATCTGCCTTGTTTGGAGAAATCTTTGCTTTTTGCTTTAGCACTTCTCTTATCTGTTCTTTTTTCTTTTTCTATTTCAGTGCGACAGCGACAGTGACCAAGAGGAAAAGGTAAGAAAGGGGTTTGGTATGGGCGCAAAAATATGTTCCTGGATTCACTTATTCCTGTTATGCTGTTACTTGGTCAAAGTTTTTTTGGATTGTACCAGTACAACTCTACAAAGAAAAGACTTGGTTCCCTTTGATTTGGTTTTGGAGGAGACCTCTAAGGCAAGAGCATTCCAACGAGCATTTTGGAGGCTGCACAATCCATTTTCAAGYGTATTGATCTAGGGTTTGTGCGTGTGTTATTTATGAACACAATTTTGACTACCAATCCTATTTGTGGCTGTGCTTTCCCTTGGGAAGTGCTGGCAACTTAACATAAGGGAATGCCTTTGTAACCCTCCCATTTTTGCTTTTTAACAGTTCCTTAGTAATGCACTTGCACGTTTTGCTTATCTACAGGCGAGGTTCTTCAGACTCAAACTGAAGTGTTAGGGATGACTTTTCTTTTTTAGAATTGACATTTGGAAACTGTACATTAAGTCAAGTGACACATCTTGCTGATAATTTTCTCAATAACTGTGGGTTTCTAAGTGGAAAAAAAGATTGTGATGCTGAAGAGACAGAGGCACTGGTCTGTAAAGCTATTTATTGTTTAGGAGGATGATAGTATTGAAGAATTAATATTCACTTTGCATTTTTATGTCTTACATTTTATGTTATGAACAGACTGACCTCTAACTTTCCTTATCTGCTGAACTGATATAATTATTGAAGAAAAAATGTTTTAACTTCTTTATTTCCAGGTTGGAATTTTGTGATTCCATTGATATGTTGAACCTTGAGATATTTTGACAATGTAATTACTTTTTCCTTCTCTCTTCCTGAAAAAAGTGGAGGGCACAAGTTAGGAGGTCTAACAAGATGCCAGAAGAACAGGTTGGTTTAGGAACGCTGCCTTATTGAGGGTCTGAGGCATTCTGTTAACTAGCTAGAGTTAAACTAAGACGAGTGGGACGTGCCGCTGTGTGGCTAGTGCAACAGAAAATAAAAAATATTTTGTGAAATCCAGAAGGAAACAAAAAGTGCAGAAATCGCCTTTTGTAAACTCTATCAGTTCAACATGGGGTTTGTATAGCAGGAAGCCAAGGAAATTTTCAAGCCGTTCTATATGCGACTGCCAAATCTTTGCCCTTAAGCTTTCAGTTATTTCCCAAGTAGAGATTTTTTGTCTCCTAATAATTTGCTAACTCTGTTGAAGAACCACTGTTTACTTAGAACTGCAATGATTTCCTTTTCATAAGGGAACTAATCGCTGGAGTTAATCAGTATGTGACAACAGAAAAGGGATTTTTTTTATTTTTTGCACAGAATTAACTTGCACTTTTTGGACATGAATTTTTAATGTAATACCATTAAATTCCATCTTGTGAACTGATTATTCATTTTGAGGATGTTCCTTCTGCAGTGTAAGATGATAAACTGAATTTCAGTCCCTATGTTTATGGCTCCTAGAACTAAAAATACAATTTCCTGGCACTGCAAATGGGGCAGAGCTCAGCTCTATAGATGCAGCAGTGTTTTTCTTTCATGACACACCTATATAAAGAGGCAAATAGGGAGTTTTTTGGGGTGCAGGTTTGCTCTTTGGGGGTTGTTTCTGAGGTGTGATCCAAGAGACCCTCCAGTTGGACCTCACGCAGAATATCCCAGTGCTTGAGTAGGGAAGATTGAAAATCCAGCCCTGGATTTCACCCGTGTGATCTATATTTTGTCTTCCCCCCCTCAATGAAATGGGATTAAGTACAGATCCAAATATCCTTGGTAATTCAGAGCTGTTCAAATCCCAGGACCAGACCCGGCTTTGAATTTTATAGCCTCGGCCCGAATCTAAAAGGCAACTGCTAACCCTGGTGTGTTTATTCAGCCCGTGTTGGCAGCTGAGGCAGAGATCTAAAGGCCTTGTTCTGCTGTTAATTTGAATTCAGCATATGTAGCCTGTTATAAAATGCGAGACATCATCATTTGAGCAGGTCAAGCATATTCAGATGAAGACAAATGGTGCTTATTTGATTTTCTTAAAATCAGGAAATGAAAAAAGTGCTCTCTGGAGAAATCATGTTCTGCCTGACTTAGATGATAGACCAAGGCATGTACCCCAGATAAGAACAGGCGCTCGGCTTGCGGTTTTTATCTCTGAAGGACGGTCGGGACTGTCAGCTCGCTGACATGTGCATTATCCATGTCATTTCAAACAAAGTGACCTGTGGAAAAGTGCACTCTGCCGTGACATGATAATGGGCTGTTGGATGACAGGTAAAGTACACACTATAAAGGAGGCTGTGCGTTATTCCTTTGTTTAACTGACAAGTAGAAACTTCTTTTCTGTAGACAGGCAGGATCTTTTAGATCTCTTTCAATAGGACCCTGGAAGATTTGGAGTCCCCGCTTGAAACAAAATATCATTTTTCAGACCAAAAAGTCCTGCGAGTAGAACTGTCTGGGGGAAGAGCAGGTGCCAAAAGCCTCTGGAGGAGGTTGATAGTTTTGTAAATGGTGCTCAGCATCCCCAGATTTCATTAATGACAGGAGCAGTTGAAGATGCTCAGCAGGATTAGAGCTTGTAGGATCCTTGACCCAGGTRTCTTGTATCATCATGAGGGTGCTGACCTGCAAGAATGGAATTTTCTGGAGTGAACTATCAACTTGCTCTTGCTTGGTCCTAGATCAGCGTATTCTGCAAATYTGCTAATTATTCTTCTCCACGCAAAACGCATCTTGCTGAGAGGCCCCTGTGAAGAGGGGAGCTCCTTTTCTTTACAGCCATCTCCTGCAGACTTGAGTGTACTGAAGTGTACAGGACAAAGTTATTGATACAGATGGATTTTGTACTTGTGGTTCAGAAAGGTAGAATGGAAACAGTTTGGCTTTGTGTAGGAGTTTGATCCTTGGGTGCTTGCGGAAATCAAGAGCTCCACAAGAGAAAGGAGGGAGGCAACAAGGGGCATTGAGGAACATGCACGGGTTGCTCCTGGGATGAATAAGACCTGTGGTTCAGAAAGATGGGCCAGCGTGTTTGAAGCAAAAAGGCAGATCAGTGTGACACAAGATGTGTGGCAGGCCAAGCTGGTCTCCCGAGGCAGTTGGGTCAAGCATGACTACGAGTGCTCCACCAAAACAGGAGAATCCATGGAGGAGCAGGACATAGGAGACTGGGGAGTGTGGTGATGGAGCAGGTGAAGTCATGTGTCTTCAGCATTCAGTGTTCTTTTTCTTCCCCCCACCCCCCCACTTGAATATGTATTTATCTGGCTGTGTAAATCACTGTTGATACCTGATCTCTATTAGGTGGTAACAGTGCCTCCAATCCATCTTCCGTAGCCTTTAATTGGGAGGCGACAGACAGAGTCACTTTCTGTCTATGTCTGCCCTCGCATGAGACATTTCTCCAGAGGTTTCTCTGAAAGAGGAAACAAGGATCTTTAATTGAAAAATGACGCAGCCCCTGCTCAGGAGCACTGTATCTAGGACTGTGTCAGCATCTCAAATTTAAATGACACGTTTTGGGTGGTAATTTATTTATATAGATTAGTGCTCCTTCATTCTGATTAGGCACACGGTTTTGGATGGAGGCATTCGAAGTTTGTTCTCCTGGTGCTAAAAAAAGATGAAGTATTGGGTRTATCTATGGAGGGAAGTATATTTGGATGTAAATCACTAACACTTAGCGAGATGTCATTTTTCTGTCCTGGGATCCTTTCAGCAAATGCCGCTGGGATTTCCTCCCGAATCAGAAGGCAGGATGGATCCCAGGGGACCTCAGATTTTCTCCATTAAAAAGTCTGTCAGTCTTGCTCTTTGAGCAGGTCCCAGGAGTTGATGGTCTAAAATTAGGGCAAGCTATTGCACAGCTGATGAATTTAAGTACAACTGTGTTTTCTTCTGCTATCTGGATACAATCTTTAAAATTACTCCCCTGGTAATTAATACAGTGAAAAAAGCATGAGTGCAAGTATAAGTCCTGGCTTGAAAAGACATATGAAATGCCTTTATGAGGAAGTCAAAAGCTGAAGATGATCTGTAGACTGAGGTTCTTTTCTATTTAATTTCTCTAGCATTTCCTCTTGCCATTCGATGCAGATTAGTTTTAAAATTAAAGCGTCACATTGAGCTTTAGTGTTTTTCACTGAAGCACTTTCTAGGGAAAATATTTTGTTGACCAACAGGGACTGCTTTACAGTGTACACAGTTATTAGTTATGTTAGGTTCAGGAAGGGGGAAAAATGGCCTACATTGGCTAGAATTTTAGTTAACTTTGATCAGAAATGTGCAATTTTGACATGTAAATGGCTGCAAGGAATGATTTAATGCCAAGTATATCCTAGTGGCGCTCAGTCACTTCACTTGGTGGTGTCCTTGGGTGCCACTAAAAGCTGTTTTTCCAGGGTCCTGTGTCAGCAAGGGCAGTGATGGACCAGCTATGATTAATGCCATGGTGTGTTCCTAGGAGAACAGTTTGACCCTAGGAGGACATTGCGTGGGGTACACGTGGGAGCAAGRTGGGCTTGGATTGTATTTAGAGCCCACCTTGAGGGAAGCATGTTGCTCGTCGCCTCAATTACTGTCTGGAGAGGGAGAAAGAAATCATCTGCAGACTATTTCCTACTTTAGAATGTTTTTAATGACAGTGCTGCAGCATTTAATTGTATAGAAAACAGCTATGAACTTAAGATTATGGCATGGAAAGCATTATAAATGGCTCTGGCATGCTCGCCTGTAAGGGCTGCTTATTTACATATACCCAGCACATGCCAAAGCATCCACACATGTACCCTGCTTCTGAGGCATTTTTGGATAGTTTTTTCTAGGTTTGCAGAGAGCTTTATAGTACCATATGTGTGTTGCCCGGGTCTTGCAGCTCCTCGGCCTGTGCTGAGCGCTGCAGGCTGCTCTGGGAACGGCACCCGGAACGAGCTCACCTTAAACCACGCTTAGAAGCATGAGGCCAAGGTAAACAGCTGCCCGGCACAGGCTTCCTCCTGGGTGCTCTGTTGCTAATGACAAAA